TTGGAGATCAGTGTCCCTGGTTAGCAGGTAACCAGGGACGCTGATCTCTCTGAAAGTGGCCGGAGCCAGCCGTAAGATCACGGCTGGCTCCGCCCAGCTGTCAGAAGCAGGCTGTGGCCGCTTGGCCAGCTTCGGCTTTCAGCACGGCTCAGCCGAGCCGATGCATATGCGTTCAGCTCGACTGAGCCGCTCGGCCATGATTGGGAGCTGTATGGGCTATTGTGAATAGCCCTTACAGCACCCCTTCGGTTCTACTGAACCGAAGGGGTCCTGGGGCCGAAGCTAGCCGAAGGATCGGCCGAAGCTACGGCCAGATCCTTCGGCATCTTTGTGAATAGACCCCATAGTGTCATATTTGAAGGAATTAAAGCCAAGACTGTAGGGATGTAGAAAACTCAAACGCCCTCCTACAATAAAACAGCTTTGTACAATCAGGGCCGGATTTCCCACAAGGCCAACCAAGGCCCTGCCTTCGGGCAGCAGGGAGTAGAGGGGCAGCAGGGGTGTGGAATTACTTTCTCCCGACGCCCGGGACATGCAGTTCTGGGTGCTGGGCGAGTAGTTGTTTTCTACATTTAGCCCTGCTCTGGGCAAGCAGAGATAAATGTCCAGCAGGGAAGCTGCAGCTTGTTTTGTACAAATTATCTCATCAAGATCACTTGTATGCAGCCTGCATACAGGGGGGGGGGGCGCATTGAGGAACCTGGCATTGGGGCAGCAGATACAGTAAATCCAGCCCTGCATAAAATGATAATAACTAAGGCCAGAACTCCATACTGCAAAGCATCACTAGTAATAATGATCACTGGATATGAAGGCTGATCGGTTCCTATGGGCAGTACACACTTTCAATTTCTGAGGTTTTCTACACAAAGCTTCTCTTTGTCTTTGAGTCCCCAGACTGTCCAGCCTGCCAGGAATTATACTTTGTGTTTTCCTCTCAGGCCTCTGAATCCTTCACTAACCTCGAAGTACTAAGTGAGGTCTCCTTCAAGTTCAGCTCCAAGACAATGAACAACATTTCCTGCAGTGCAGAAAACCACCTGGGAATGAAAAAAAAGATGTTCAAACTGAGCATGTGTAAGTCTGACTTTTAATATTTGTTTCTTGGTCAACGGGAGGATGTATGAAAAAATGCTAAATTCGTGGTTGGCTGACCTTATATATGAGGTCAGGACATGTGAGGGACCTAGATGTTGTATGACAAGGAATTACTTGTGGCTTATGGTGTTACTGAGATTTATTTGACCAATCAGCTGCTTTTTTTTTCAGCTACTGAATTGTTTTAGCATACAACAATTTGAAAACAATTTTCAACATCCCAACTGCCCCTCATTTGGAACCAAATCCCTGTGTCCCTCTTTTCTCCTCAGTTGTCACTCTTTTTGGTCTTATGTACAAATATCTATGACAATCTTCAATTCAACTACCAAAGTGTAATTCTGCACTAAAACCTTCATCTTATCTCTTAATTATCTTGTTTGGAAAAGCCAGCATAAAGGAAAAGTAATGGTGGAAAACAACAAATCTGGGTTTAATCAGTCATTTTTGCCATATAAATAGTTAATGGTCCACAAAACTGGGGGGATGAGTAGGTGTGAGTAGGTGTGTGTCCATTGCCTATGTATGTGTAATCTAACTGTGGCTTGTCTACAGCATCCCAACAATGTGGTAACTACAGGTCATGTGACGTAGCAATGTTGAAAAGTGGTCGCACTGTGTTCTACGTGCCTTGTATGAAATGTCTATGACACAACCTGTAAATTATACTGTATCTGCTGTATATGCACAGCACAATATAACATTGGTGTGTCCTGTTTATACAGTCTGAAGGCAGTAAGTTAGAAAATTTGTAAATTAGACACCCCCCCCAAAATTATCAACCCCACCCCTGAGAAAATTAAGCCTCACCCATCTTAATTAAGCTTTTGAAGGGAAGCAAAGAGGTAGGTCGGCTATCTCTGCAGCCCTTGGAAGCCAGTAAGATTACAGATACACTTACCTTTCTATAGCTTTCCTAAAACAGCTTTTATTCTTTAGTACGTTTGCATATTTGTCTTTTTTTAAAATCACAGTATGTACTCTAAAGTCTATTTCCTAGATACTGTATATATGAATGCCTAACATTAGATTTAACATTATAATTCTTTCTTATTGCACTTAAATTAATTAAGTTAATATTTCTTCTCTTCACCCTGCAGATGAGGCTCCAAGCGTTTCTCCGGCTCAAGGTAATTAGAATCATATTTTACAGAGATAATGATTATCTTCTGTGTTATATATCTGCTACTAGAGCTGACTTTCACAGAGAGTAGTGTTGGGTTGAGGATATATCCTACTTTCCCGGCCAGCCCATAGTTTGCCATTCCATGTAAGTGTGGCAAAGACCAGATTAGCTTCAAAGTGGAGCTGTTTTATTAAAATGATATTAAAGTCAAAAGGTTTTTAATCTATTTCAAATGCTGATTAAATCACTTACAATGGATGCTGCTGTTTGATGTCAAAACATTTTAGTTTGTTGCAGAATCAGCTGGCCCCCTGAGCACTGGCCCTGATATCCTGTTTTAAGGTGGCTCCTTTCCCTTGCAGGTCCCTTTGAAAGCACCATTGTGTGTGCTAGTAAGCTGTTTGTGTCTCCACAAACACACCGGCAAGCTACTCTCCAATTCCCGCTCCCTGCTGCTTCTTCCTCCTTCTGTCTGTGATCTTGCACTGGACAGGACGTTTAGGGGAGCTGAGCTGAGAGATTTGGAGCTGTTTGGAAACATGGCTACTGAAAATGCTTAGGCAAAAATGGAAATAAATAATTTGCTAGACAATGTTTCTTTGATCTGGATTCATTATTGAAAAAAAGTTGGAGCGTTTAGTGCTATGTTTTGAAGTCAGTGCACATGGGACTTGCTGCTTCCATGAAGTGTGAGCCAGCGCATGGCTGCTCACATACAAGCGTTCTGGCAGCTGTAGAGCTGCCTGAGCGCTTGTATGGTGCCAGCTATCCTGGGCTCTGCTGTCCCCGATACGGGCCTGGGACCAGCACTGCAGCTCTGTGTACCTTGATCAAAAGGAGATCAGCACAATTCTAGTGGCACCACCTTCCAATCACTGAAAGCGGAAGCAGTGTGTATTACATTATGTCCGTTTTTAGTGTGACATTTCTCCAGCTGCTGTGGGCAGAGAAGAAGCTGATGAAGCACAATCTTTTGGGGTTTTTGGGTTTCATAGGTGACATTAGGGGTCTAATAGGCCCCTGATGTCTCCATAATGGAGACCTTTTACATCCTCTTTGCTATCACTTAGGGGGCTTGTTATCCTACTATGTGATAGCAATAAAGTTAGGTGAAAAAATAAGCTTAAACAATGAAATTAAAAAAACACAAAACCTTTATTTGTTTTAAGTCCCCCACCGTCCCCACATACACGCACATACAAATGTAAAAATCCGTCAGAGGGTGCCTACGTGCGAGAATGACGATTGCACCACACGTTACATATCACCGTGACACTGGAGCGAGAGCTATAATTCTAGGGCCATCAGTCACTGTTAACACTAAACTGAGGAGCAGTAAAAGCTTTTAAAGCGTTACTTATGGGCAGTTTTGGGCATTGTATCTTTTTGTGATTTCACGGGCGTACACGATTTTAAGGTTTGCCATGTTTGGTATCTATTTACTCAATGTGACCCCATCTTTTATACTTTTCCAAAACATTGAGTGTTAAATTCTTTTTCTGTGCACTAAAGCGCTAAAAGTAATTTTCGTAAAAAAGTAAATTTTGTGTAATTCCCATGCTTGCCTCCAGGACTTCTCTAGAGTATCTCCCGTCCTCTGGAACTCTTTACCCCAACCTGTCCGACTATCTCCCACTCTGATTGCCTTTAGGCGATCCCTTAAGACTCATCTCTTCAGGGAAGCCTATCCCACCTCAACCTAACCACTCAAACATGGTGGTCTCAAAAAATTCATCCCCACACAGCTACCTCCTCATGTATCACTTGCCCCTCCCTTTTAGATTGTAGGCCCTCCTTACTATCTTGTCTTGAATTGTATTGTTATTGTAATGTCTTCTTTATATTGTAAAGCGCTGCTTGTTGGCGCTATATAAATCCTGTATAATAATAATAATCCTGAAAATACTGGTTTGATGAACATTTGCGCAAATATCATGCAACATAACCAATTGCAACTAGTATTTATTTATTTTTCTGGGCCTTTTGGGGGTTTTAAGCTGCTTTCTAGCCAAAAATTCAGATATTATCATGTGTGTGCAATAATTAAGACATTGCTCTGGATGGAGAGTGTTTAAAAGGAGTGATAGGAAAAGTCCAGTAACATACAGGTGAAACTCGAATAATTAGAATATCGTCCAAAAGTAATTGCAGTAAGTGCTGCAAAAGGGGCCCAAACCAAGTACTGAGTACATATGCATGCTTGTACTTTTCAGAGGTCCGATATTGTTCTATGTACAATCCTTGTTTTATTGATTGCATGTAATAATCTACTTTTTTGAGGTTGTGGATTTGGGGTTCTTGGGGTTTTCATGAGCTGTAAGCCATAATCATCACAATTATGACAAATCACGGCTTGAATTATCTTGCTTTGCATGTAATGAGTCTATCTCATATATTAGTTTCACCTTTTAAGTTGCATTAGTGAAATAAATGAACTTTGCACGATATTCTAATTATTCGAGTTTCACCTGTATAGAAACCCATCCGGATTTCTTGTCATTGTTCTGATTGATCTCAGCTACTCTCATGCTGCCTATGAGACTAATTGCATTCTATTGCCTCTTGCAGAACAGAGTGGTGGCAGCAGCACGGCCATAATCGCAGTCGTTGTGTGCGTCCTCCTCCTGCTTCTAGTCGTTGCCCTCTTCTATTTCCTACAGAAGAAAGGAAAGTTGGCCTGCGGACGTTCAGAGAAACAACCACTGTAAGTCAATCAGCTGAGTTATACTTATGAATATTGAAGTGAAAATGCTGCATTGTTATCATATGAGAGTGAATGAGTGTAGTAATCAGATAACATTGATGTTGGGATAGTTTACATACACATGCAGATGAGCATGCTTTCCGGTTAAAGGATATGTAAACCCAAGAATTAAAAATGCAATATATTGCAGTTTACCAGTTTTAGATGTGATGTCTACATCAAGCTGGGCATACACATATACTGTACAATTATTTCTAACAGTGTCATACATTTATGATAAATAGCGCCAATGGAGAAATTTCCTTTGCTGGTCTATTGTAGTATGACAGCTGGCACCTGCTACCATTAGAATACCCGAACGGTAACTGCACTTGATTCGCTTCAGTGACAGTTCCGCCGGCAATTTTCCACCCGCCACCTTCAACAAAAGTATTTGGGCCATCCAAATATCAGATCTCCGACAGATCGCATTTCAGAAATCAGACTGTCTGTATTCAGGGAGGAGCGCACAGCCCTGTATGCATATAGTTGCTTAGATTTACATCCAGCCATTGCCTGCCACTGATTTGTACCCTGCACCTGTCACATCCAGCAGAGAAAGTACGGCCATTTTAAGCCCATAATGGCTCTGTAGGGTCTCACCAGGGCTCTGTAGGGTCTCACCAGGGCTCTGTAGGGTCACACCAGCCTGGCTAAGCCCCACAGAGCCGTGGTTAGACCCCACGGAGCCCTGGTTAGACGTCACAGAGCCCTGGTTAGACCCCACAGAGCCGTGGTTAGAACCCACAGAGCCCTGGTTAGACCCCACAGAGCCCTGGTTAGACCACTAGACTCTGATAGCCACAGGCATGGCTCCCAAGGGTAGAAGCATGATATATGATTTGGAGTTTCACCATAGCTGGGGTGCCAAGGTTGCCTACCGCTGTGTTATATGCTGTTGTTACATATATTAACCACATTTAGTCATCAGATAGAATGCAATATTTTTGTGTTATTGGTCCTTTAAAGCTAAACACCAGGCACAAAAGTTTTCATGTAATGGCTGTATCTAAAGTTTTCTTTAAAGCTGAATTCTGGGCACAAAACCTTTCTTTGAAAGATATTCCTCATTAGCCACAAAGGATATAAATCCACTTCCTATGCACCAAATGCCTATATAAACCTAGTTATTATCTTGTAGAAGTAGCTCATCACTGTGCTGTATATAGCTTGCACAGAGAGCAGAGCTATGGGAGGGTTCCAGCAGGCCCCACCCACTACAGGCTGCCATTACAGAGGGGGCGGTGACTAGACCAGCAACCCTGCACATGGAGAGAGAGCAGCAGTGAGCGGTCTTTATTACAGGAAGCTCCAATTGTCACACTGGATGACTGCACAAATCTGGAAGAAATACACAAAGCTCACGAAGATTCAAGGAAGAATAAACATGACTCTATATCAAATCAGCTATAAAAAAGCTCTATGCATTTTCATACATTGGACAAAACAGTATTTAATTGTAAGCATTTGCAGTCCTGATACATGCTCTGCCTTAGTAAGCCCTGATGAAGGGGGTAGTAATATGGCCCCCCCGAAACGTGTTGACTATTTCTATACTGTCCCCTTACCCCAATATCAAATTAAGAAATATATGGACTCTTAAGCAGAGTGTGGCACTTCAATTCACAATCCTGCAGTTTGCTTTTTCACCCTGGAAGGAGAAACTATAATGAAGCAAAGTGATCGAAATGCTGAAACTTCAGTCAAAGATTGTGCTTGCGTTGTTCCTCTCCAGGTCTCTCTGTTAGCTCTTGTCCCAGTTGTTTTGTTCGACAAGTCGTGCTCTGTTCTGCCACTTCCTCTGCGCCGTTATCTCAGCATAATCATATTGTGCTTTCATTATATATGGACGGCCGCCAACCTATTCTTCCGCCTTAATCTGTTCTGTAACACGGAGCTGCCTCGGGTTAGAAGTCACTGCCTCTCCTGAGAATGTAGGCAGAACTCATAGGGAGATCTGGGGGCTGCCGTATCCATGGCAACTGCATCATATATGTTGTCAATACATATTCATGAGCTGAGCGGCCCGGGTAAAACACGCTCCTGGTTACAGATGCATTGCTTTGCACTGAGAAGTCATATACAATTCGGCAGTTACGTGGCAGGTCATGCTGTGCTTGTAAAATGAAGGAGCTAAACAGAATTTGTCACCTAGAGAAGAGTATTTGGTTTTGCAGCAGCTTCCTGATTAGACAATGGCACACTTTTCTTACCCTTAATGCCTTTCTATAAAAAAAAATAACTCAGAAGTGAGGCTTCCCCGGCATTGCGAGGGTTAACTGCTCATTTGTGTCCGGGGGGAAGGCGAAGAGGACTTTTACTTACCTGTTCCTCCCTTCCCCCGGCAGCAGGCGCTCTCCTACTCGCCCTCCACTCCTGTTCATGGACTGTCCCTTGTTGTCCTCGCACATAATGCAGGGCTATGGGCATGATGTGGTAAGCGGGCCTCTGCAGAGAAACCAAAGTAAGAGATCAGATTAGTGTTTTCCAAGACCCGTAAAGCAATTTTGGGTGGACTTGCTGTTAATTGCTTCTTCCTGCCACATCTTTGTCTTCTCTCTGTGACATTTGTGGAACTTATGTCTAGACTGTAAAGGTCCAAACCTTAATTGACGTTATCCACTTTCAAGTTATACCACACATACTGTATTTGTTGATTGGTAAGACAGTTGTGTTAAATGTAACAATGATATGCAAAGTACAGTTACCCACAGCAACTAAGTAGAAATTGATGTAAAACTCAATGAGCGGAATTTTCTAAGGCTAAGGCTAAGGCTGGGCACACACCTTACAACCATCGCAAGACTTTTGTCTTGCGATGGTTGTAAGGTACTTAAAAAAAACGTACGATCTGCCTACCTTGCGATGATCACAAGCCACGCCCCCTGAGGGGCGGGCTTCCGATGACCGCAATGCCGAACGGGCAGTGTACGATCGCGGGATTTCCCGCGATTATCATACGATTATCGTAAGGTGTGTGGGGACCTTAAAGCAACTGTGCATGGCAACCAATCAGCTTCCAGCTTTCATTTCCAAAGCTTAACTGAACAAGTTAAGGAAAGAAACTGATTGGTTACCATACACCGGTGCTCCAGATTCTGCCTGCTCCAAATTTGGTAAATTTCCCCATTGTATTGCCCATTGGGTGGCATTATTGCTTTGCCCTATAGGGTGAGATTGACACTTTTTTTTCAGTTTGATTGTACTGACACTTTGGGGGGAATTTATCAAAACTGGAGTAGACGAAATCTGGAGCAGTTGCCCAGGGCAACCAATCAGCTTCTTTCTTCAGTTTGTTCAGTTAAGATTTGAAAATGAAACAGAGAAGCTGATTGGCTGCCATGCACCGCTGCTCCAGATTTTGTCTGCTCCAGTTTTGATAAATTCCCCTCTTTATGTGTAGCTGGAGATTCACCTTTGTGACTTCATGAAGCAGTTGCATTTGATTGTTTTTTGTTTTTTTTTTCATGGAAAAAAATAATCTATGAAGAGTTTAGCTTTCCCAGAGCAAAAACTTGGTGCTGTAATTAACTATTTAGCTAATTTCTTCCTAAAACCACAGGACACTTATGATGTGGCATGTCCCCTCCTAATGCTGCCATTCCTTGGCTCAAGTGTTGAAAACAGCCACAATTCCTGTGGTTTTGGAGAGGATAAAAGAAACTTAAAGCTGAACTCCAGGCAAACAGCTAAATATGCACAGTAGATAATATAAGAGAGCTACCAAAATAATTTGTATTTCTGTCCGTCTTGTCCTGAGATCAACATAGCTCTGCCTCACAGAACAGTGATGTGTGACTGGTCAGGGGACCTGATTCTTCTCTGCTGCAGTTTGCTAACATTTTTGAGCTTTGTAACCCCCCCCCCCCCCAGAAAATTTATAGATCATTGAAATTTTAATGGCATAATTATTTTAATTATATTTTCTATTGGTACAGTGGCCACTGGTCTTACTAAATGGAAATAAAGGGAACAGAGACCTTTGTCTAAATTATTCAAGTGTTCAGATCTACTTTGCAAATGATAATGAACTCACAGTCCCTCCTAACATTTCAAAGAAGGATAAACAAGTAGAAATGTTAACCCTTAAGAAGCCAAGAAACCCTAAGGCCCCTTTCACATCAGCGCTCCGCCTGTCAGTTTTTCAAGCGGCCCGATCGGATGCCCAATGTAAGTCTATGGGCCACCATGTGTAAATGGACTAGTGTCAGATTACACCCGGTTACCTCCGGCTCCAGACAGTCCCGTAAAAGCAAACGCATCAGAGATCAGTTTCGCCGGACCTGATCGTACCAGATCGGGGGTGATCTGATGTAAATGGACACATGTCTGTTTACGTCTGATTCCCCATAGACCAACATGGGGTCCGGGGACTTTGGTCGGACACAAATGTCACAGTGGTAGCATCCGCTCCATACTGCTCTGATCGGGAAGGGATCCATGCACAGGTCACCTCTTGATCAGCCGTGTGAAAGGGGGCCTAACCCAAGTAAAAGCAATTTAAACTGCAAGAAGCATTTAAATAAAGGGAACAGAGACCTTCGTCTAATTTATTCAAGTCGGGGTCCCTCAATGGGTGAACACCTGCATGGAATAACAAGAAATTGCTTAAGATATGAGCTATAGACCAATAACAAAATGTCTGCCTGGAGTTCAGCATTAACCTGTAGTTCTCTCCCACCTCTTTCCACTTATTTACATGTTTATTGCTTATTTCAGACCATGATTGAGACTTGTGGTTGGTGATTATCTTGCTGGAGCACCTGAATGTATAGATGGAGCTTCTACCCCCATGGAATACTGTAAACAATAGGCAGGACAATTTGCCTGAGGGCAGCTAAAAGGAGGCCAATTGTGGGTTGAATGGCTCGATAGGAACTAACTAATTGAGGGTCTGAATGAGGTCTGATAAGATTATTATTCTTACATGCACTATGTTTAGATTCCCCCAATTTGGGAAG